AGACTATGCTGGTAGCATCACAAACCAACTCAGTTCTTTGTCTCACTTTCCATTTCTCCATTTTATAGGTAAATTCTCAACTCCTGGGCTGGCAGAAGGATCAGGCCAAAGGCTTCCTCCTCCTCCTTTCTGCCTTTTCTGCAGATCCTCTGTGATACAGAAAACCCCTTCTAAGGGCAGACATTTGGCACAGTGATTAAGACACTGCTTGGGATGCCTGAATCCCACATCAGAGAGCATGCCTTCAAGTCCCAGCTCTGCTTCCCACTCAGCTTCCTGCTAATGCACACCCTGGGAGACAGATGTTGGCTCATGTACTTGGGTTCCTGCCACCCATGTGGGAGACTTGGATTCAGTTTTAGATTCAGAGAAGCTAGGATCTGAGGGGACAGGTAGAGCTACTATCCAACGTTTTTATTATTCTCTGCATCCTGACCTTTCCCTTCTATAGCAGGGCTTAATGTGGGAAGAGTTCTAGGCCTTAACTTGCCAAGCTGAGTAATGGATGGGCTGACTGTTGAGGTAGGCTCTTTCCACCCCCAGATGGTATCAGCCTCATCATCTGGTTTAATGGCCATTGTCTTCCAAAGGACAAGTGTTGTCTTTGGATGGAGATGGAGCAGGGCTAAGCTGGTGGCTGAAGGTCTCTTCCTTACCTCAATGCCTCAGCGGGCAACAGGAAGACAAGATGATGGAGACACAGGAGAAATGAGTTCTAGTCCAACACCTGCTACTAAAGAGCTAATCATACCTAGCCCAACCAAGTCTTCTTCCCACCCAAGCCTTGTTTTTCATCTTCCAACAAGTGGGTAAGGCTAGATGAACTTTAAGATCAATTCACCTTTTTAGAGTCCATGCACATTATCAAAGCCCCAAAATACAACACCCTCCATCTCACAGACAAGTAAGCATGCTCAGAGGGGATGAGGAGCCTGCTCCAAGCCACAGAGTCAGGCAGTGGGAGGGAGCAGAATGGAACTCAACTATTTTGAATTCCACTCCATTCAATTGAATCGTTCAAGGCAAATCACATCAGTCTTCCAAAGACTGAGTGGTTTTTGAATCAAGACGCATTGCATAGGGAGAATAAGTGAGGACCTTGATAACCTCAGGCCAGCAGAGTTCACACACAATGAGAAAGAGAGTCAGAGAGGCAAAAGGAAGCCCCGAGGCCCAGGCAGACTGGAAACTGCAGCTGTGAAAAAGCAGGAGCTGGGATGCTTTGAAGGCATTAGGATAAGGGAAGGCAGGTGTTGTAGTGGCTGGATCAGAAAGCAGAGTCCCAGGCATAGTCCTGTTGTCTTAGAAAATAATGCCAAGGACTGACTTTGTGGTGTAGCAGGTTAAGCCCCCACTTGCAACATCCCACATTAGAACCCTGGTTTGGTCTTGGCTGCTCCACTTCCAATCCAGTTCATTGCTAATGTGCCTGGGAAGGCAGCAGAAGATGGCCCAGTGGCCGGCATTGTGGCGTAGCAGGTAAAGCCATTGCCTGCAGAGCCAGTATCCCATATGGGCCCCGGTTCAGTTCCTGGATGCTCCTATTCCAATCCAGCTCTCTGCTATGGCCTGGGAAAGCAGTAGAAGATGGTCCAAGTGCTTGGGCCCCTGCACCTGTTTGGGAGACCCAGAAGAAGCTCCTGGTTCCTGGCTTAGGATTGGCACAGCTCTGGCTGTTGCAGCCATTTGGGGAATGAACCAGCGGATGGAAGACCTCTCTCTTTCTCTCTGCCTCTGCCTCTCTGTAACTCTTCCTTTCAAATAAATAAGTAAATAAACTTTACAAAAAAAAGAATAAGAAAAAGAAGATGGCCCAAGTAATTGGGTCCCTGCCACCTATGTGGGACACCCAGATGGAGTTTCAGGCTCCTGGCTTCAACCTGACCCAACCCTGGCCATTGAAGCTATTTGGGGAGTGAACCAGTAGATGGAAGATCCCTCTGTGTGTCTCTCCTTTTCTATCCATCATTCTGCCTTTCAAATAAATAAATAAAAGTTAAAAAAATGCTATGTTACCTAACCATGGCCGGAAAATGAAGCCATGACATAGTAGCAGGTAGATCTATGGGGAAAAGATAGAGAGGAGTAGAAGAGGGACTTGGCCCAGTCTCTGGAAGATAGCAAAGGAGTCCTTTTAAAGTTTCTGTTGGGGTGTTTATGTGCTGTGGCATAGTGAGTAAAGCAGCTGCCTGTGTTGCCAACATCCCATATGAGTACCAGTTTGACTTCTGGCTGCTCCACTTCCCTTCCAGCTCCCTGTGAATGGCAGGGGAAAAGCAGTGGAAGATGGCCCAAGTGTTTGGGGACCTGCCGTGCACATGGAGATCCAGATGAACCTCCTGGCTTCTGGGTTTGGCTTGACCCACCCTGGCTATTGTGGCCATCAGGTGAGTGAACCAGCAGATTGAAGACCTCCCTCTTTCTCTGTTAACTGTTAACTTTCAAATGAATAAATAAATCTTTTTTTTTTTTTTAAAGTTTCTGTTGGGGGCCGGCACTGTGGCATAGTGGGTAGAGCCACCATCTGCGGTGTCGGCATCTTATTTGGGCACAGGTTTGAATACTGGCTGCTCTGCTTCTGATTTGGCTCTCTGTTGTTGCCTGGGAAAGCGGTGGAAGATGGCCCAAGTCCTTGGGCCCCTGCCCCCATGTGGGAGACCTGGAGGAGACTCCTGGCTCCTGGCCTCGGATTGGCGCAGCTCCAGCTGTTGCGGCCGGCTGGGGAGTAAACCAGTAGATGGGAGACCTCTCTCTATCTCTCTGTCCCTCCTCTCTCTGTGTAACTCTTTCAAATAAGTAAATAAATCTTAAAAAAAAAAAAAAAAAAGAAGTTTCCATTGGACATCTTTCTTCCTAATTCCTAATTCCTGTTGGAGAGAAATAAATGGGTAACAGAGGATAAATCACTTCGAGAGACCCAGAAGTGGCTATGGGGTTTCCTCTTCCTCTCACTTTATTTAAAGACTTTTTATTTATTTATTTATTTGAAAGGCAGAATAACACAGAGAGAGAGAGAGAGACAGCGAGAACTTTCATCTACTGATTCACTTCCCAAATGGCCACAACAGCGATGCCTGTGCCAGGCTGAGCCAGGAACTCAGTCATGGTTTCCCACATGGGTGGCAGGGTCCCAAGCACTTGGGCTGTCTTCCACTGCTTTTCCAGGTGTATTAGCAGGGAGCTGGAATGGAAGTGGAGCAGCTGGGACTGAAACTGGTACTATGATACGGGATGGTGATAATGCAAAGGTTGGCTTAAGCTGCTGAACTACAAATCATCCCCCTATTTATTTATTTATTTATTTATTTTTAATTTTTTGACAGGCAGAGTGGACAGTGAGAGAGAGAGACAGAGAGAAAGGTCTTCCTTTGCCGTTGGTTCACCCTCCAATGGCTGCCGCGGCCGGCGCGCTGCTGCCGGTGCACCGCGCCGATCTGATGGCAGGAGCCAGGTACTTCTCCTGGTCTCCCATGGGGTGCAGAGCCCAAGCACTTGGGCCATCCTCCACTGCACTCCCTGGCCACAGCAGAGAGCTGGCCTGGAAGAGGGGCAACCAGGACAGAATCCGGCGTCCCAACCGGGACTAGAACCCAGTGTGCCGGCGCCGCAAGGCGGAGGATTAGCCTAGTGAGCCGCGGCGCTGGCCCCCCTATTTATTTTTATTTTATTTATTTGAAAGGCAAATCGAATGAGGGAAGACAAGACAGAGAGAAAGACAGCAAGTAGTACAGAGAGAGAGAGTTGCCATCCACTGGCTCATTCCATAAATGCCTACAACAGCTGAGGCTAGGCATGATTAGGAGCCAGAAACTCAATACAGATCTCCTATATGAGTGGTAGGGGCCCAAATATTTGAGCCATTACCCACAGCCAGATAGGACATGCACTAGTAAGAAGCTAGAATTGGGAGCAGAACTGGACTTGAGCAGAACCAGACACACTCATACAGGGCGTGGGTGTCCAAGTGGCATCTTGACCACTAGGCCAAATGCCCACAGCCCCATGACTTTAAAAAAAATTTTAGGCCGGCGCCGTGGCTCACTAGGCTAATCCTCCACCTTGTGGCGCCGGCACACCGGGTTCTAGTCCCGGTTGGGGCGCCGGATTCTGTCCCGGTTGCCCCTCTTCCAGGCCAGCCCTCTGCTGTGGCCCGGGAGTGCAGTGGAGGATGGCCCAGGTGCTTGGGCCCTGCACCCCATGGGAGACCAGGAAAAGCACCTGGCTCCTGGCTCCTGCCATCGGATCAGCGCGGTGCGCCGGCCGCAGCACGTCGGCTGCGGCGGCCATTGGAGGGTGAACCAATGGCAAAAGGAAGACCTTTCTCTCTGTCTCTCTCTCACTGTCCACTCTGCCTGTCAAAAATAAAAAAAATAAAAAAAAATTTAAAAAAAATTTTATTTATTTATTTAGAAACTCAGAGTTATAGACAGACAAGGAGGAGAGACATTGAGAGATCTTCCATCTGCTGGTTCACTCCTCTAATGACTGCAACGACCAGTGCTGGGCCAGGCAGAAGTCAGGAGCCAGGAGCCAGGAGCTTCATCTGGGTCCCCCATATAAGTGCAGGTGCCCAAACACGTGGGCCATTTTCCATTGCTCTTCTCAGGCCATTAGCAGGGAGCTGGATAGGAAGTGGAACAGCCAGGACGTGAACTGACACCCATATGGGATGCTGGTGTTGCAGGTGATGGCTTTAATGGCTACGCCACAATGCTGGCCCCACTCATGGCCTTTTGAATGTCCCTGTGTATATGCTGAGATGTTTCTGTGTCCCTCTCTATTCCTCATTGAATAACACTGAGCACAAGCGAGGGGAGGAAATACTAGTTTAAAGAAAAGACAGGGGCACTTGGAGTCTTTCTAAGTAGGTTAGTTAGTTCTGCCCCACATAAAGCACCCTGGACCCTGATCCTTCAGAGCAAAAAATATGCCTAATTAACTTCATTCCTATCAGCTCCTCCAGCCCAGCCTTTCTTGTTTCTTACCTGAACGTCACTTACCTCCCTCTGAGAGTCAGTGTTTCCCCTGGTGTGGTCCATGTGACAGAATCAGCTACATCACAGAATCCACCTACATCAAGATCAGTTGGGGTATTTGTTAAAAATGCACATTCTGGACATTGGACCTAGCATTTAAAATGCCCACATCTCGGTCCTGGTGTTGTGGCATAAGTGGTTAAGCCATCACCTGAGACACCAGCATCCCATATGGGTATCGATTCCTGTCCCAGCTCCCTGCTAATGTACCAGGGAAATCAGTGGAAGATGGCCCATATTCCTTGGGCCCCAGCACTCATGTTGGAGACCTGGATGGAGTTCCAGGGTCTTGGCTTCAGCATGGCCCAGCCCTGGCTGTTGCAGCAATTTGGGAAGAGAACCAGCAGATGGAAGATCTCTTGCTCTCTCACTGTGTCTCACCTCTCTGAAAATCTGCCTTTTTTTTTTTTTTAAGATTTGTTTATTTTACTTGAAAGAGTTACAGAGAAGGAGAGGCAGACACAGAGAAAGAGATAGAGAGATAGAGATTCCATCTGTTGGTTCACTCCCCAAAAGACCCCAACAGCCAGGGTTGGGTCAGGCTGAAGCCAGGAGCTAGGAGCTTCATCTAGGTCTCCCATGTGGGTATAGGGGCTCAAGGACTTGGGCCATCCTTTGTTGCTTTCCCAGGTGCATTAGCAGGGAGCTGGATCAGAAGTGGAGCATATGGGATGTTGGTGCTGCAGACGGTGGCTTTACCTGCTATGCCACAGCGCTGGCACTGGAACTCTGCCTTTCAAATAAATAAACAAATTTTTAAAAAAATATTTATTTATTTATTTTAAAGGGAGGGGGAGAGAGAGAGAGAGAGAGAGAGATCTTCCATTTGCTGGTTCACTCCCCAAATGGCCGCAATAGCCGGAGCTGTGCCGATCCTAAGCTTCTTCCAGGTCTCCCAAGTGGGCGCAGGGGCCCAAGGGCTTAAGCCATTTTCTGCTTTCTTAGGCCATAAGCAGAGAGCTGGATCAGAAGTGGAGCATCCAGGACTTGAACCAGTGCCTATATGGGATGCCAGCACTGCAGGTGGCAGCTTTACCTGCTATGCAACAGCATTGGCCCCAATAAATAAATATTTTAAAAAATCCTTTTAATAAAAAGAAAATACCCAAATTCCATTGGATGACTCAGTTTGATTCCTGCCTCCAGCTTCTTGCTAAAGGAGACCCTGGGAGGCAGCAGGAAATAATTGGATTTCTTCCACCCCCATGGGAGACCTGGACTGAATTCCCAGCCCTTGGCTCCAACCCTGGCCAATTCGCGGACACTTTGAGGATCTGGGGCGTGAACTATATACCGGGAGCTCTCCCTGTATAACACTCTGCCTCTCAAATAATAATAATAATAGTAAAAACACAATCTTAGATCCCTTTCTAGATTGAATCAGACTCTTTGGGGTGCTGCTTTGGGAAACTGCTGTTTAATAAGTTCCCAGGTGATCTGCACATTGCGACTTGAGGTCTGCTACCCAACGCACTGCCATTAAAGAGGTCAGGCCAAGGTCATCTCCAGGAGGTTCGGAGATGCTCCCAACAGTTTTTCCACAGGAGACAAGTTGAATCATAGCTTGCCTTGCCTTCCCCCTACTCTTATTTCCACTGTCCACCCCGGGCAGCAGAAAAGTGGAAACCACTTAGATTTTTGGCATCTGTTTGTAAAAGATGTTCATCTCAGCTTTATCCACAGTAAATACAAATTGAAAAGAGCTGCCTGATAAAATATATAACAGTGAATCTTTCCAACAGAAGACTTTACCCATTTATTATTGGATATCCTCTTTCAGTGAATCTCAAAAAATTGCTTTTAGGCCCCCCACTGCCCAACTTCAGGGAGCATTTTCCTGCACACACTGCACCTTCTGCATGGCTTAGCTCCACACTGCGGCTCTCCTGCTGTGGTTCTAGCTCCTCCTGGTGGACCCCACCTCTGGGCATCACTAAAGCCACCTCTTGACCCTCCCCAGACCCAGCTGGGACAGCAGCTTCCTGCTACTGCTAAGCCAGTGTTGCTTCACCATCTCCTCTTTGGTTTCTCAGCTGTTAGATCTTTTGTGTAACCAATTTCCCGTATCAAATTCCTTCCATTTGAAATACCTAGAGTGGTTTTATGGCGGTACTTCAAAACACTGATGGGAAACTGGAATGAAAGGGCTATGAGATACAAACAACAAAGGACAGCCAGGGACTTTTTTCTCTGTGATGCTGAAACTGCTCTGGGGCTGCACAAAAGCACTAGAGAAAACCCAAAACTCTGGGGCCTTCCCCAACCCTTCCAACAAGCCCAGCCCTATCTGGTTCCAGATTGGCCTTGCCTGGATGGTTTTAAAGAGCTGCAACACTAGGGCCGGCATTGTGATGTAGCAGGTAAAGCTGCCACCTGTGACACCAGCAGATAATTTTTGTTTTCCATTATCTTTCTGTATTACTTAAATTGTTTACACATTTTCAATTATAATTTTTTTATTTTTTGAATTTAACAATTTATCATTTTTAAAAATTATTTAGAGGGGCTGGCGCTGTGGGTAAAGCTGCTGCCTGCAGTGCTGGCATCCCATATGGGTGCTGGTTCAAGACCTGGCTGTTCCACTTCTGATCCAGCTCTCTGCTATGGCCTGGGAAAGCAGTAGAAGATGGCACACTTGGGGCCCCTGCAACTGCTTGGGAGACCTAGAAGAAGCTCCTGGCTCCTGGCTTCAGATTGGCCCAGCTCTGGCTGTTGTAGCTACTGGGAGAGTGCACCAGCAGATGGAAGACCTCTCTCTCTCTCTCTCTCTCTCTCCCTCTCTCTCTCTCTGCCTCTCTGTAACTCTGCCTTTCAAATAAATAAATAAATCTTTTAAAAATTATTTACTTTTTTTTTTTTAACTTTGAAAGGCAGAAAGATAGACAGAGACTGATTCATTTGCCAAATGTCCAGTATAGTCAATGTCAGGAGCCTGGAACTCCATCCGGGTTTCCCACATGAGTGGCAGGTACTCAAGTATGGGAGCCATCACTGCTGACTTCTGGGTGCACATTCTAGGAAGCCGATTCAGAAGTCAAGGAGCCAGGACTCAAACCTGGCACTCCTATATAGGATATGGTTGTCTCAGGCGGTGCCTCAACTGCTGAGTCAGAGAGCCACCCTCTAAAATGACTTTTTAAAATGGAAACTGACCAGAGAAGTTATGAGGAATGATAATAGTATTATTACTATGTATTTATTATTATTACTATGTGTAAGACATTATGCTGAATGTTTTGTGTGCATTATCTGATTTAATTCTCATAACCCTATGAGCTTATTATGCTGTTTTGTAATATTGAGCAAACTGAGGCTGCAGAGTTTAATTGCCCGTAATCACAGGGTTAGTAAGAGTTGGGGGCGAGATTAAAGCCCAAATACCTTGGCTGCAGAGCTATTAGGGTCTGACTGGCCTGATCCACAGTGGAGCTGGATCTCTCTTTGGAGCTAACGGAAATTTACCAATATCTTAAAGACAATCCACCAATCACATCTCAGAGGTCATTTTATTCTTTAATATTTTTGAGACTGAACCACTATAATGTAAAAGCAGGTGTCAGTCTCTTGTCTGTCTCCCTTAGCCCAAAGTATCCTTGCCTGTCCTTTACAAAATGGAAATCACTGAACTGAAGGCGAGACATAAGTGACCCTACAAGATTCTAATCACTGGACTCCAGGAGTCATTTGCTTCTCCAATAGATAAGAACCTTGACGGGGTCCTGGAGTCAGGTCTGGGTGGAGTATAACTGCCATTTACATGTGATCCCTCCAGACCAAGTGAAGTCAACCCAGCCATCATAAATTCCCTAAAGAGCCACAGCATCACTGGCCGATCATGAACTTGGACACGAGTTGATCATGCATCTCTGAGCCCCAATCTCAATCTATGAAAACCTTCACCCCAAACTCCTCAGGGAGCCCTGGAATTAAGCAATAGGTGCCTGGGTCCTTGCTCTGTGCTTTGCAATAAATACCTACTTTTTTCCACCACCCCAATATCTGTAATTGGCTTCCTGCACCATAATGGACCCAGTTGAGGGGTTCTATACCAACACTCCTAACTAGTTTGAGGTGTCATTCCACATCATTTTTCAGAAGCAAGCATTAAATTTTGTTAAAAAAAAAAACTAGTGCCTACATTACAACAAACTAAAGACAAAATGTTTTCTTAGAAATTTTATTTATTTATTTATTTATTTATGTGAAAAGCAGAGTGACACAGAGAGAGGTAGAGAGAGCTTAAATCTGCTGTTCACTCCCCAAATGGCCATACTGGCCCAGACTAGGCCAGGCCAGAACAACTCCATCCAGGACTCCCACAGGGATGGCAGAGGCCCAAGCACTTGGGTCATCTTTCTCTGCCTTCCCATGCGAATGAGCACGGAGCTGGATTGAAGTGGAGCAGCCAAGACTCAAAGTGACACTCAACCTGATAGAATGTAGGCAGCTTAACCCATTGTACCACAATGCTGGCCACAAGACAGAAAACATTTTGTGGTATTATGTTACACTGATGTCCCCCTTGTCTCCTGACTTTGGGCTGACCCTAAGATTTGCTTTAACTAAGGGAGCGATGAACATGCCATTTCTAGACCTAAGCTTTAGGAAGGTCCAGCAGCTTCCACTTTTTTCCTTTTGGGATCACCGAGGCAACATGTAGGAAGTCTGGCTACTCTGCTATACACATTATGCAGAAGGGCCACGTGGACAGGGAGAGAATTAGAGACTGAGGGGGGGGGGGGTAGCTGTTTCTGTAGAGCCAGCCTCTGCTAGAGGACCAGAAAGGACAATGGAACAGCTGGGCCGATCACAGCCCAGATTTCAGAACTCTGAGCAAATAAAATGATTGGTGTTTTACATCATCCATTTTCAGGCTGGGTTTTACATGATACATAATGAAGACACCTCCTCAGCTTTCCTTGGGCAACTACTGGTACACTCAATTCTGCATGAATTAGGCTCCATTCCCTGCTATCGCCCAGTTTGCCAAGAGCTTTCCGATTAATTACTAGGATCTAAGAAAGCCCCCCCCCCCCCTTTTTTTAAATGAAAAGAAGTACTAGGTATAGAGAGGCTGACTTGAGGCCTTGCTTTGTTACTTGGGAACATCTTTAACCTTTCTGTCTCAGTTGTAAAATGGGGAGACCAATGCTCATTCTACTTACTATAGGGTAAAGATAAGCACAACCGACTTGGAAAAAAAAAATGAAGTGCATAAACAGATCTTCCCAGGTGAGAAGACACGAGGACGCCGAAGAACGGGGACTTGAGGTCATCTGGATGTAAGACCTTGAATAAACGACTCAGGACCGCTGGCCCTTCGTTCCAACTCTGTAAATAGACTACCTTCCCCTCCGTACAGGTTTATCTGTGATGGGTAAATGTGACATCGAATGAGGGCAGACCTGTTGCACAGTAGGCGCCAACGGCTTGCCATCAAACCCGTCTCCCTTCCTCAACCTCATATTCCCTTCCAGTTCCTGAGATTATGATTTACTAAGTCTGGAGTGGGGCCCAGAAACCTACTTTAAAAAAAAAAAGTTCTTCAGCGAATTCGAAAGCAGATTCTCGCCTCACCTCACAGGACTCCGCTTGCTACCACACCCCCGCTTTCTACCTGCAGAAGCCACAAACTCCAAGTCTCGCGACAGTTGCTTTTTTCCCCCTCAGGATCTGTTATAGGTCGCGCGCGATTGGCTTGTCCAATCACAAGGCTAGATGGCTTCACAAGATGGCGGCGCACTGAGAGCGTAACATCTGCGTTTCCAGGAGCTTGCCGCTGCGGCTTGGTTCAAGATTCCGGGGTTGTACAGGCCCAGGCCAGACCCGTTGTCCGACAGGAACATCGGCATCGGAGGTGGGTCACTTAACATCTCACGTAATCGTGGATTGCTTAATCCACGAATCACCTGGTTTCCTCGTCGGGTTTGCGGCTCGTGAGGGGGAGAGAGACCTGCTGTGGGTGTCTGTGCGCGTGCGAGGGTGTTGAGTGACTGGGAGGAGTTGGCGAATAGAACGGAGACTAGGATTGAAGTAGGAGAGACCCCAGGGACTGAAGGGGTTTGGAGGGATCCGAAACTGAGGCGGGAAGACAAGTGCGGTGGGTAAGATGCGGGCAAGGAAGGAATGGAAGAGATGGACAACTGGCAGGGACGGGATTAGTGGGAAAAGTCGGATTTATGAGGGAAGGCGAGGAGGGGAAACGGAGTTTGGGGTTATGTTGGGAGGGAGTTGTGCAGAAGGAACTCCAAGTTCTGAAAGTAGAATTTAGACTGTTTTACAGGCTTCTGTATTAAGAGGAATGGTCGTTGAAGACCGTGGGTTAAGAGTCAGAAGAACCAAAGAAACAGAAGCATGGAGATGAGAAAGGTCAAAGGAAATAGAAGCGTTGTTCTGAAGGGTTTACTACTTTAGATTTCTGGACTGACTCAGGTAACCCGGAAGGAAAATCCCAGCCCTCTGGCTGTGCTTTTTTTTAAGACTGAAGATGGGGACTGCCTACCCTCAATAAGGGTGGCCTTGACAATGATAAGAGCTCTGTTGTGCTTTCAGCCAGCAAATATTTGAGTGCCGATCCCCCCCCCCCCACCCCCAGGCCTTATTTTAGGTGGTGGGATAGTGCAATGAATAAGAGAGGCAAAATAAAGCATACTGGCAGGGCAGTAAATAAGCAAAATATATGGAATGTTGTATGGGTAAGTTGTGTGGAAGACTGAAGCTAGGAAGAGAGACAAGGAGTGTGTTCACTTACTGCATTTTTAAAGGGAGTACTCAGGAAAGGTGTTAATGAGAAGGGGACATTTGACCAAAGACCTGAACAAGGTGAGAGGACACTGTAGTTCTTGTCAGGGAGAGAGCAGTCTATACATACTGAACAGCAGGTGCAAAAGATATAAGGCACGAGTGTGCCAGACTTGATAAACAGCAAGGGGACCACCGTGGCTGTAGCAGAATGAACCAGGACGAGTAGATGAGGCTAAAGCCAAGTGAGTAGTGACAGTGCTGATGCTGGCTAGAGTTGACACCCAGTTAAACTATGGGGAACAGGGATAAGAACTGATTGCCTGTATTGGGAAGCTGATGAGCAAGAAAATGGTTTGATTCTTTCTGCATTAGTTCTGACCAGAAAGTTGAATAATGTAGGAAATGAATTTAATTTGCCTTGTGTAATTTAGCTTGTTCATGCATGTTCAGAATGTTGTATTATATGTACACTGTTGTCAGCTATGTTGTCTACAATTTTTTTTTTAAGATTTTTTTTTATTTACTTGAGAGGTAGACTTAGAGAGAGAGAGAGAAGAGAGAGATCTTCTATCCGCTGGATCATGCCCCAAATGGCCGCAACAGCCGGAGCTGGGCCATTTTGGAGCCAGGATCCAGGAGCTTTTTCTGGGTCTCCCATGCAGGTACAGGGGCCCAAGAACTTGGGCCATCGTCCACTGCTTTCCCAGGCCATAAGCAGAGAACTTGATTGGAAGAGGAGCAGCCAGGACACCCATATGGGATGCCGGCATTGCAGGTAGAGGCTTAGCCTACTATGCCACAGTGCCGGTCCCTAGAATTTTATTATTATTATTTTTTAAAAAGATTTTTTTTTTTAATTTGAAAGTCAGAGTTATAGAGGGGTTGGGGAGAGAGGCCAAGTCTTTCATCAGTAGGTTCACTCCTCAAATGGCCACAAAGGCCAGGGCTGGGCCAGGCCAAAGCCAGGAGCTTCTTTTGGGTCTTTGATGTGGGTGGCAGGAGCCCAAGCACTTGGGCTGTCTTCCACTGCTTTTCCCAGGCCATTGGGAGCTCGATTGGAGGTGAACCAGCAGAGCCTCGAACTAGTGCCCTCATGGGATGCGGGTGTTGCAGGTGGCTGCTTAACCCGCTTTAGAATCTTTAATGTGTTGCAGAGCCCTAACATACTACCAGTTTTTAACTGGTATGGTTAACTTTTTTTTTTTTATTTTTTATTTTTTGACATGCAGAGTGGACAGTGAGAGAGAGAGACAGAGAGAAAGGTCTTCCTTTTTGCTGTTGGTTCACCCTCCAATGGCTGCCACGGCCCGTGCGCTGCACTGATCCAAACCCAGGAGCCAGGTGCTTTTCCTGGTCTCCCATGGGGTGCAGGGTCCAAGTACTTGGGCCATCCTCCACTGTACTCCCGGGCCACAGCAGAGAGCTGGCCTGGAATAGGGCAACCGGGACAGAATCCGGCACCCCGACCGGGACTAGAACCTGGGGTGCCAGCGCCACAGGCAGAGGATTAGCCTATTGAGCCGCGGCGTGGGCCAACTTACAGTCTTGAGTTAGCTGTTAGAGTACCTTTCATTTTGTTGTTCTTAAGAAAAGAAAGCATATTTCTTTACTTGGATTTCTTGGGGACTGAGACTTATCCTAATATTATGCTTCTGTCTTTCCTGATGCTTTGTAAATGATATTCTAATGTTAGGAAATTCTAACTGGAATATAGTGAGTTTCATTGATAGTGTGAGGGGCAAAATGTGGTAACTCAGTATGCTGAAAAACTTCCAGGTGACTACTCATCCCCCCGCCCTCCCATTCTGAACTGTTCATTTATTCAGTAGATACGTATTGTATGCCAGTTGTATGAAGAATAAAGTGGATATGGTTGTAGCCTGGTGTGTTTGAGTGATATACAAGGGGGATTCAAAAATTTCATAGAAAATTTAGAATATCTTTCAATTGTATTTTTTCACAAACATTTAAAAACCTCTCCTGTGTAAACTATACATATGAAAGCCAGCTGAGGACTTCTGAAGGGGGAGCATGGAGTGCTTTGAAAGCATAGAATAGGCACCAGATTGAATGGCCACCAAGAAAACCTGCCTGGGAAAGTGATGCTTAGGGTGTGATTGGAAGGGCTAATGGGGCCATGGGGGTGGAGGTGGAAGGAGATGGCAAAAGGGTGAGGAGAATCTTAGAGGCAGTAAGAACAGCAGATGGTGGGCAGACCACCAAGCAGCAGAACAAATGAAAAAAGACCAGTATATCTGGAGCATAGTGCAGAAGGGGAAAGTAGCAATAAACAAGATTGGAGGGATAGGCAGGGCCCAGATTATGCATGCCCTATTAATGATATTATACTTTGTTCGCCTAATAGCTTTAGGAATCCCCTGAGGGACTTTTGCAAGGGAATGTTTAAATTCGCATTGAGAGAGAAAGAGAAAAAGAGAATGTCTCTTGGGTGAAAAATATGTTAAGGGGGGCAAAAATAGTTACTAAAAGAGTTATTAGAGGCTCCTATAGTAATCTTGAGGAAGTGATGCTAATGAGGTAATAATGATCTGAACCAGAGAGGTGAAATTGTTCTGGTTTGCACACCACAAGAAAGATAATGGTGCCATTCAGTGGGACAGGGAAGATTAGGAGAGGACCAGTATGGGGTAGGTTGAAACAGTTTAATTTTGGACATACTGTAAATGAAATACTTTTGAACCATTCAAGTGAGAAAAATGGTAGGTGGTTGGATATATGATATGGGAAGGTCTGGTGTGAAGACAACAGCTTTTTTTTTTGACAGGCAGAGTAGACAGTGAGAGAGAGTGACAGAGAGAAAGGTCTTCCTTTTGCCATTAGTTCACCCTCCAATGGCCGCTGCGGCCGGTGCGCTGCGGCTGGCGCACCGCACTGATCCAAAGCCAGGAGCCAGGTGCTTCTCCTGGTCTCCCATGGGGTACAGGGCCCAAGGACTTGGGCCATCCTCCACTGCACTCCCTGGCCACAGCAGAGAGCTGGCTTGGAAGAGCGGCAGCCGAGACAGAACCCGGCACCCCGACCGGGACTAGAACCTAGTGTGCTGGCGCCGCAAGGCGGAGGATTACCCTATTGAGTCGTGGCGCCAGCCTAACAATTCTTTTCTTTAAATTGACTTAATTTCCTGTGTAGAAAGCCATCAAAAAAGGCTTCTGAGACAGAGTGTTAATAGATTTATTACTAGGTAACTCACATCTCTAACAAAGCTTGTAAAGGAAAGCTACTTATTATTAGGGATCTGTATAATAGGGGTCATGACTTAAGGGGGAGGTTAGGGAAAGAACTTGAAGAGATTCTTGAACTGTGTTCCTAAGGATGAGTAGAAATTCACCAGCTGGGCTGCACTGCGGCTCACTAGGCTAGTCCTCCGCCTGCAGCGCCGGCACCCCAGGTTCTAGTCCCCTTTGGGGCACCGGATTCTGTCCTGGTTGCTCCTCTTCCAGTCCAGTTCTCTGCTGTGGCCTGGTAAGGCAGTGGAGGATGGCCCAAGTGCTTGGGCTCTGCACCTGCATGGGAGACCACGAGGAAGCACCTGGCTCCTGGCTTTGGATCAGTGCAGTGTGCTGGCCCTAGCGGCCATTTTGGGGGTGAACCAATGGAAAAAAAGGAAGGCCTTTTTCTCTGTCTCTCTCTCTCTCTCACTGTCTAGCTCTGCCTGTAAAAAAAAAAAAAAAAAAAAAAGAGAGAGAAAAGAAATTTACCAGTTGGAGAGGGAGAGGAAGGAATATTACAGACAAAAGAAACAGCGTATGTAAAGGTCCTGTGGTCAGGATGGAGGGACAGAAAGCAGCGCAGGGGGATGCGACTTAATCTGCAGGTGAAACTATAGGGAAGACCAGACTCTGCAGGGCCTTACATGTACGTTGAAGTAATGACTGTAGTTTTTACCCTGGGAGTAAAATTCTGAGCTACTAGGATAGGAGACGGGCATACTGAGATTTGTGTCCAGACACTATCACAGCAAGGTAGAAAAAGGAATAGCAAGAATGAGAGTGGCCGACGAGGAGCCTGTTGTAGCAATCTGGGTAGCCTGGGCTTTTATTGGTCTGGGTAGGGGAAAATAGATGGCTTTGAGAGGTATTGATCAGGTAATTCTAATAGGATTGGTAATTTTTTTATTCATTTTGAAAGAGTTACAGAGAGAGAGAGGGAGATAGACAGAGATCTTTTATCTGCTGGTTCATTCCCCAGATGGCCATAATGGCTGGGGCTGGGCCAGGCACCAGGAGTTTTACCTGGTGCTCCCAAGGGGTGGCAGGGGCTGAAGCACTTGGGTCATTTTCCACTGCTTTCACCAGTCATTAGCAGGGAGCTGGATCAGAAGTGGAGCAGCTGGAACTCCAACTGGCACCCATATGGGATGCCTGCATCACATGCAACGGCCTTACCCACTGTGCCACAGCACTGGCCCCTGGTGATTTTTTGGAAAGGAAATGGAAAGAGAAAGATGAAATCAACCCCAAGTTTCTGACTTACAATATTATTCAGATGGGTATTTTTCTAAAAATGTGGAAATATATAATATTATAAAGAAAAAATAAAAGTCACTTATCGGCTGGCGCCGCGGCTCACAAGGCTAATCCTCTGCCTTGCAGCGCCGGTACACCGGGTTCTAGTCCCGGTCGGGGCACTGGATTCTGTCCCGGTTGCCCCTCTTCCAGGCCAGCTCTCTGCTGTGGCCCAGGAGTGCAGTGGAGGATGGCCCAAGTGCTTGGGCCCTGCACCCCATGGGAGACCAGGAGAAGCACCTGGCTCCTGCCATCGGATCAGTGTGGTGCGTGGGCTGCGGCGGCCATTGGAGGGTGAACCAACGGCAAAGGAAGAGCTTTCTCTCTCTCACTGTCCACTCTGCCTGTCAAAAAATAAAAAAAAAAAAAAGAAAAAAATAAAAATAAAAATAAAAAGTCACTTATCACCTAGAGATATACACTCAAATTTTTTTTTATTGGTAATTTGGAGCGGGTATTGTGGCATGGCAGGTTAAGCCTCTGCCTGTGATTCCAGCATTCTATATGGGCGCTGGTTTGAGTTCTGGCTGTTCCACTTCTGATCCAATTCCCTGTGATGTGCCTGGGAAAGCAGTGTGATAGCTCAAATAGTTGGGCCCCTGTTACCCACATGGGAAACCTAGGTGGAGTTCCAGCCTCCCAGCTTTGGGCTCACCCAGGCCCAGCCCAACACTGGCCATTGTGGCCATTTAGAGAGCGAACCAGCTGGTGGAAGAGTCTCTGTGTGTGTGTGTCTCTCCCTCTCTCTGTAACTCTGCCTTTCAAATAATAGAAAAAAATTATCTAATAAAGCTAGAAGAAAGATTTGAATGTTTTTGCTACAAAGAAATGATAAAAGAGATGTTTACCCTGATATAAACATTATACAGTGGGTATATATATGGAAACACTTATATATATGGAAACCCTATAAGTATGTACAATTTTTATGTGTTGATTCAAAATATAATTATTTTTATTTAAAAAAATATTTATTTATTTGAAAGGCAGAGTCATTGGGAGGGAGAGAGGAAGAAAGAGAGAGCTTCTATCCACTGGTTCATGCCCCATATGGCTGCAATGGCCATAGCTGGGTTGATCCGAAGCCAGGAGCTTCATCCGGGTCTCCCACCTAGGTGCAGGGGCCCAAGCACTTGGGCCATCTGCTGCTGCTTTCCCAGGCACATTAGCAGGGAGCTAGATTGGAAGTGGAACAGCTGGGACTCTAACCGGTGCCCATATGAGATGCTGGCATTGCAGGCAACAGCTTAACCTGTTACGTTATAACGCTAGCACCCTAAATAAATATTTTAAAAAGAGGGGAAAAAAAAGATCAAACACCTAGAGATTTACTAAACCAATACAATGGTTTTTCTTCCTATTTTTATTTCTTGATATAAATATATTAGTGCTTTTCCTTTTTGTAATCTGGAAGAAGATAAAATTATGTTTGATTTCATTTGGTTTTAGCTACCTACGAATGTTAAGAAATTTGGGTATTAGATATGTTTTCAGACTTTAGTGACTTCATGGCACACCTCCAAATATTCAGTCCTTGTGAGGCCACTGTAAAGAATTGGCCTCTGAGTGTCGTCTCACCTCTAGATTACACTGCTCTTGTCACTTTCGTGCTCTCAAAGGAATAGGTTTTGATTTTCTTCTCTTGATTAAAAAAATTCATTCTATGTTGTGTGTATTTTTACTGAGGTAGAATAAACATACCATAAAATTTACCATCTTAACCATTTTTAAGTATATCATTCAGTGCTGTTAAGTACAGTGACACTCTTGGACAGTTGTCACCACTGTCCATTTCCTAAAGTTTTTCATTATCCCAAACTGAAATTCTGTACCCATGGTGCCTTGACTCCCATTCCTGCCTTCCCCTAGCTCTTGGTCACTTCTGTTCTGTTCTATATCTATATGAACTTGCCTATTCTTAGTACCTACCATAAGTGGGATTGTATAGTGTTTGTCCTTTTGTGTGTGGTGTATGTCCCTTAGCATGTTTTCAAGATTAATTTGTGTTGTAGCATGTATCAGAATTTCAATCCTTTTTATGACATAAGTTTTACCACGTGAATATTGCGTTTGGTTTGTCTTTCCATCTGTTAGTGGGCAGTTAGATTCTGTCTTTTTGCTGTTGTAAACAAGATGACTACTTCTGCTGTGTACGATGGTGTAGGAGTACATGTTCAGTCCCTCCTTTTGAGTTCTTCTGTGAATGTACCTGGGAGTGGCAGTACTCACACAGTGATGCTGTATTTAAGTTGTTAAAGAACTGCCAAACTTTCACAGCAGCTGCCCCATGCATACTCCCACCAGCGGTGCATGAGGAATCCAGTTTCTTCATATTCTCATAAACATGCTGTTGTCTCTTAAAATCACTTTTGCTTTTTGTTGTTAGTGGCCATTGTAATGCATGTGATGTGGTATCTTGTGGTTTTGATTGGCATTTTCCTGGTGACGAATGATGCTGAGCATCTTTTCATATGCTTGTTTGCTGTATACATTTTAAAAATCTCATTTCTGCATTCTTACTTAATTGGCAAAGGTGTATTGGCTGTAACTGTTGACTTGGCATCCACAGCTTTTCCCTGTTAATTTCTTAACTAAATATGCTGATTTGTTTCCTTTTGTTTTATTTTTTTAAAGATGGCTCTGAGTAAATCAATGCATGCAAGAAATAGATACAAGGACAAACCTCCTGACTTTGCATATCTGGCATCCAAATATCCTGATTTTAAGCAGCATGTTCAGATAAATCTGAATGGAAGAGTGAGGTAGGTAACAGATGAAAACTTACTCTCTCATTCTAGTGCCATCTTAATGCATACAATATAGTGGAAAATACTCTGTGGACTGATGGAATGCTAATGGTAGACATTTCATTGAATTTCCCATGTGACCTTGGACAAATCATTTAACCTCTGAGAGTCTGTTTTTTCATCTGTTAAATGAGGATTGGGGGCTAGCACTGTGGTACAGCAGGTTGGGCTGCTGCTTATAGCTGCAGCATCACTGGACTGCCAGTTGGAGTCCTGGCTGCTCTGCTTTCAATCCAGGTCCTTTCTGATGCACCTGGGAAGACAGCAGATGATGGCCCAAGTGCTTGGGTCCCTGCTATCCACATGGGAGACCAGATGGAGTTCCTGGCTTCAGTCTGGCCTAGCCGTGGCTGTTTTAGGCATTTGGGGAGTGAACCAACAGATGAAAGAAACCTCTCTCTGTTACTCTTTCAACTCAATCAATCAATCTCAAAAAAGAAAGAGAGGATTGGGCCAAATACTTTTTAAGTCTCTTTCTTGCTTAAAAAAGAAAAAAAAAATTTGGGGGGCAAGCATTCCACAGATTGATTTTAGGAGCTGGTTAGATTACCATGTGAGTGGGTGTTGTAGCACAGTAGACTAAACTGCTACCTGCAGTCCTGGCATCCTCTATCATCAGGGCACTGGCTCAAGTTCTGGCTGCTCCACTTCTGAGCTAGCTTTCTGTAAATGTGCCTGGGAAAGTAGTGGAGAATGGCCCAAGTATTTGGACCCCTACCACCCATGTAGGAGACCCAGGTGGAGCTCCAGGCTCCTGGCTTCAGCCTGCACCAGCCCTGGCTGTTGTGGTCATTTGGGAAGTGAAACAGTAGAAGGAAGGTCTCTTTCTCTGTCACCTTGCTTTTCAAATAAATAAATAAATCTTAAAAAAAAAAAAAAAAAAAGAGGCTCATGTCCCATAACAGAGTACCTCAGTTTAATACCTGCTCCAGCTCCTAATTCCAGCCTCCTACTTGTGTCAGGTGCTGGGAAGTAGAGGTGATAGATCAAGTAAATGGGTTCCCACCACCAGATGGGAGACTTGGATTCAATGTCCACCTCCCAACTTTAGCCACTGTGGGCATTTGCAGAATAAACCAGTAGATAGGAACTCTTATGTGTCTGTCTGCTTCTCAAATTAAAAAAAAAAAAAAAAAAATTTCTCTATGTCCACATTATTGCCTACCTTGCAAGGATCCCAGAGTAACTACAAAGAATTTAGGACTGTGCGCTGGTTGATCTAAAACATGTTGACTGTATCTTGATGTGAAATAGGAAAATAATAACCAGAACATCAAAACTGATTTCACATACATTAGCAATGTATTATTTAAGATGTTGCTGAATGTAGATTTAAAAGCTGGCTTTTAAACATTAAAATAATGGTATAAGGTACTTCAGGAAATGGCAAAAAATATAATTGTATGAGAATGACTAATGTACATGTACACTGTGTCTATGAGAAGGAACCATCTCTGACTGCATTGCTAAAATCTGTGGGAGTTACAGAGGGAATTGGAAATTTCAAGGCTGCTTAGAGAGAGGTGTGGTGATTCCACAAGGGGGATGTGGAGAAGCAGGGTGGGAGAAGACAGAAGTTAAGGAATAATAGGATCACAGGGTCTTAGGCATTTTGCTGGCTTCATCTTTACTCTTAGCAGTGTTCCTATAGCTTGGAAATGGAGGCTCCAGGACAGGATTTAGTGAGGGGGATTTGATAAGATAAGCAGAGGCTTAATGCTGTGTACTACAATACCCACTCCAAGATAGGTATTTTTAGGAAGTCACAATGAGGGGCAGATGCTTGGTGTGGTGACTCACTTACCACTTGGGATGCTTTTATCCCATATTGGAGTGTTGATTTCTCAACAATGTTGCAGTGGATTAGTTTCTGAGAGGAGCAGCGTGGTGGGGGCAAGAGGCGCGGAGTCACCACACAGACCCCGAGAGTCGGGTGAAATCAGGCTTGAGGCGAGCAGCCCGCAGACTCGTTTATTACAGTTGGAACTACATCTTATATAGCCAAGACCAGCCAATCTGGTCAAGGGGTGGTCTATGCCCCAACCAATCATAGCCTGTTGCCAGGCAGGCTCCGTTGCCAGGTGGGTTTCAAAGCCATTCCTGAGTAACTGAGTAACTGACACTCGCTTGCCAGTGGCCACCTTGGCATGACCTTCTCATTCCACCACAGGAGTGCCCAGGTTCAAGTTCTGACTCTGCTTCCCATTCTAGCTTCCTGTTCATATATGCTAGAAGGCAGAAGGTGATGGCTCAAGTAATTGGGTCCCTGCTACCCCATGGGAGGACTGAATAAAATTTCAGGCTCCTGACTTCCATTTTGTTTGCTGCTGGCTCTGGTGGGCATTTGCAGAGTGAACCAACAGATGGTATATCTCTTTCTCTGTTTCTATGAGTATCTGTTTCTTGTCTCTCTGCTTTTCAAATAAATACATAAATGAAATTTAAAAATCACTCTCAGAGCAAATCAAAGGAATCTGTTTTTAATAGTGTATCTAAAGGGATTAATGTTATCTGGCAAGTATTAGACATTGAATAGATATTTACTGAGTGCATGAGGATAATTCCTCTATTAAACAATGTTCCGTGTGTAAGTGGCAGTCTGTTTTGGTCTGTTTTCTGTTACAGGTAATATAAAGAATAAAAATTTATTTCTTACAGCCTGGAGGCTAAGTCCAAAGTCAAGGCCCCAGCTTCTGTTGAAGGCGTTCTTGCTGAGGGCATTCTGCTTATGCAGAAGGTTGAAGGGTGGCAAGCCCAGCCCCACAAACCCTTTTTGTAGCTTTAATCTATGATTTTTTTAAAGATGTGTTTATTTATCTGAAAGTCAGCACTACAGGGGTGGGGGGAGGAAGAAGGAGACAGAGATCCTCTATCCATTGGATCACTCCCAAGATGGCTGCAATGATCAGGGCAGAGCCAGGTTGAAGCTAGGAGCCAGGAGCTTCTTCCACATCTCCCATATGGGTAGCAGGGGCCCAAGCACTTGAGCCATCTTCTGCTGCTTTTCTTAGGGCATTAGCAGGGAGCTGGATCAGAAGTAGAGCAGCTAGGACATGAACCATACCCATAAGGGTGCTGACATTGCAGGCCATGGCTTTACCTGCTACGCCATGACTCTAGTTGCAGATTTAAACCATTATTGAGGGCAGAGTCTCATGACTAAACACCTCCCATTAGGTCTCCTCACCTTCTGACACTTTTGTATGGAATTAAGATTCCAATATATGAATTTTGGGGGACAAATTCATATCATAGCACATATATCAAATAAATTAGAGGAAAATGAAAAATAATAAAGAGATGAGCAGGTAAATGAGAGTTCCCCAAAATCAGATAAAGTTGAAGGCAAGAAGGCATCAAACTGAAAAAATGGGGTTAGCTTAAGAAAAGTAGTTAAAAATTAAAAAAAAAATTATTTTTGAAATGCAGAAACTGATCTTACATCTGCTAGTTAAATTGATTGCTATAAATGCTGCAATAACTAGAACTGAGCCAGGCCAAAGCCAGGAGCCTAGAACTCAGTCTGGCTCTCCCCTGTGAGTAGCAGGGACACAGATGCTTAAGTCATCAGCTTGCTGCCTCCTAGGGTGCCCATTAGCAGGAACCTAGGCACTCAGTATGGGATGCAGGCATCCCAACCAGCCTTTTTTTTTTTTTTTTCGATTTGCTTTTTATTTATTTGAAAGACAAAGTTAAGAAAAATCTTCCAACTGCTGGTTCATTCCCAAATAGACACAACACCAGCCCAGCCAAGTTGACTCTCTCTCTCTCTTTTTTTTTTTTTTTTTTTTTTTTTGACAGGCAGAGTGGACAGTGAGAGAGAGAGACAGAGAGAAAGGTCTTCCTTTGCCGTTGGTTCACCCTCCAATGGCCGCCGCGGCCGGTGCACTGTGGCCAGCGCACCACGCTGATCCGATGGCAGGAGCCAGGTACTTCTCCTGGTCTCCCATGGGGTGCAGGGCCCAAGCACCTGGGCCATCCTCCACTGTACTCCCTGGCCACAGCAGAGAGCTGGCCTGGAAGAGGGGCAACTGGGACAGAATCCGGCGCCCCGACTGGGACTAGAACCCGGTGTGCCGGCGCCGCAAGGTGGAGGATTAGCCTAGTGAGCCACGGTGCCGGCCGCCAAGTTGCCTTTTAACAGGTGTTCCAAATGTTTGCCCTGGTAAATAATTTTCAATGCAGATTTAATAAATGAAGACTGTTAACATTTTGGAAACTGCAACATAGGAATACTTTTTTTTCTTTGTAAAGATTTATTTATTCATTTATTTCAAAAGCAGAGATGTAGAGAGGAGGAAAGACAGAGGAAGAGAGAGAGAGAGAGAGAGAGAGAGAGAGAGAGAGAATATCTTTCGTCTGCTGGCTCATTCCTCAAATGGCCACAACGGCCGGGCCTGGGGTAGGCCAAAGCCAGGAACCAGGAGCTTAATCTGGGTCTTCCACTTAGGTGCAGGGGCCCAAGTTCTTAGACCATCCTCCACTGCTTTCCCAGGTACAATATCAGGGAGCTGGATGGGAAGTCAAGCAGATGGGACTTGAACCAGTTCCCATATGGGATGCCAGCACTGCAGGCAGATGCTTAACCTTATATAACACAGCGCTGGCCCAGAAATAGCTTTTAAAAAATGTTTGATCAGGGGCTAGTATTATGGCAAAGCAGGTTAAATTGCTGCTTGTGGTGCTGGTATTCCAAATCAGAATGCTGATTCAAGACCAAGCTGCTCCACTTCTGATCCAGTTTTCTGCTGATGTTCCTGGGAAGGCAGCAAAAGATGGCCCAAGTGCATGGGTCCCTACCACCCATGTGGGAAAGTAGGATGGAGTTCCCAGCACTGAGTTTGGTCTGTCCAGACCTAGCTGTTGGTGGCTATTTGGAGAGAGAACCAGTGATTGGAAGATCTCTCTGTTTCTGTCACTCTGCCTTTGAAATAAATGAATAAAAATCTTTTTTT